TTTTTTTTAACCCTCAGGGCTAGGGAGATGACTCAGGCAATAAAGTGCTTGTAACATGAGCCTGAGGATCTGAGTTTGGATCCCCAGCACCCACATAAAGGCTAGGCATGGTGGCATGCATCTGTAACCCCAGCACTGGGAGGTAAGCAGGGAGAGACAGGCAGGTCCTGGGAACTTACTGACCAGCCAGTGTAGCCAAACCCATGAGCTCCAGGTTAAGTGAGAGACCTGTCTCAAAGAATAAGGTGGAGTGGACTGGGGATCTAGCTCACCTGATGTCAACCTCTGGCCTCCACATACATTTGTGGGCACATGTGTGTGTGCTCACGTAAACACATGGACTCCTGCACACAGTAGACACACAAACCCTCTGTGTGCTCTCATGAAGGGAGAGATCCAAATCTGACAAATTGTTAACCGAGGATTTGTTTAGCAAAGCATATTAGAGTATTAACTGTATTGAACAGCTTCTCTGAGGAGTTCAAAAATTTTTAAAGAACTATCATCCATCAACAGGAAGAAATAGCCTGTAGACAGCAGAATTTATGATTGTTATTGAATTTTGTGGCATATGAAATGAAGACTGGATATGCATTTTGTTTGTTTGCTTGAGACAGGGGTCTTGCTATATAGCCCAGGCTGGCTTCAAATTCATGATGCTCCTGCCTCACAAATCCTGAGATTACAGGTATACCCCACCGTGCCTGGCAGGACATATCTTAAGTACATTCCCTTCTCAATTATGTAAGATCTTAAATATTCCTAGCTATACACTTAGTAAGCATAATCATATTGCAAAGTTTAATTCAAGCTACAACTTTATTTTTATTTTTATTTAATTTATTTATTTATCTGGTCTTTTTTTGAGGCAGGGTCTCCCTGTAGCTCCAGCTACCTGGAACTCACTCTGTAGACCAGGCTGGCCTCAAACTCACTCTGCCTCCTGAGTGCTGGGATTAAAGGCATGGACCACTGCGCCCAGCAAGCTACAACTTTAAACAGAAGCATATAAGGTCTCTATTTTGTCTTGAATATAGTCAATTCTCTCTAGTCATCATTAATAGGTACAAATAAAATGAAGTAGTCTAAATTAAATATTAAAAAAATTGCAGGGCCATACAAGCTGAGGTCTAAGGTCCTTTCCAGTTGTAATAGTGGCAATTAAGCAATGTAATTTTGTGATAAGCCACATTCATCTCGTAGCTGGAGCCATATAGGTCACTGAGCCTGCTCCCCACTGTGCAAGAGGACTCAAAGTGTGCCTGTCTCATTACAGGAGAATGAGGACGAGGAGGGAGCTGGAGCCCAAGGGCCCAAAGTTACCTGTCCCTCCTGCCCTGGACCCAAACAGCAGCAGTGGCCCACAGCCTGCGACTGTGACCCTCAGTCCTGCTGATGCCCATGTAGAGACTCGGTGACCCTGCCTGGCACTGTCTCTGCCTATGCAAAGAGCTTTCAGGACCCGGAGGCACACTCTTCTGGCAGCTTCACTGAGGCCCTTCTGGTCAGATTGACCGAGGCACCCTTCATGCAACCCCTGCAGCTTGAAGCCATCCTTAACCATGTTCTGCCTTGACTACCCCAGCAGTGTCTGTATCCCTGCTGCCTTCCTGCCACAGAGCTGGGGACATTCTTTTGTCACCTGATGAGAAGGTCTATGCTGGTGAATACTGGTATGAGTCTGGTTCTGTCCCCACAAATGGTACAGCTAGACAAATAAGCAGACACACAGACAGATGAACGGATGGACAGACAGACAGTCCTGACTCTTCTGGTCAGGAGTCAGGGCCAGGGAATGGTTCTGAAAATTTTACCCAGGGTCTGCCACTGGCTGCATCTCAGATTAAGTGTCTTGTCCACAGTTTTGCAGAACAAATCCTCAATCCCATAATCAGGCACAACAGAACTAACTTGGACTAACTAACCGGAAAACAGCTTGGTAATGTCTAACCTGTTCCAGTACTAGATAACTATTAGCCAGCTCCTGAGGGTTGGTCAGAATGTTTTCACCCTTTAAGAAAAGGTACAAGCCAGGTGTGGTGGCACACGCCTTTAATCCCAGCACTCTGGACAAAGAGGCAGGCGGATCTCTGTGAGCTCAAGGCCAGCCTGGTCTACATAGTGAGTTCCAGGCCAGCTCAAGCTACAGGGGGACCCTTGCTCATAAAAACCAAAAAAAAAAAAAAAAAATGTTACGAAAGCCAGGCTTGGTGGCACATGCCTGTAATCCCAGCAGGAGGATTATGATTTCAAGGCTAGTTTTATCTGAAAAAGAGAAAAGAAAAGGTACAGGACAAACAGTATTCTCTAAAAAATATCTGACATCCTTAATAGTGAGTCAAAGGGACAGTGTGGCCCAGAGGAACAGAGTTCTCTAGGAGGAGGGCTTGTGTTCCCCATGGATCTGGACTGACCTGTGCCCGCTCAGGACTCTGACCTCTGCTGGGGGTAGACTACTCTTGCCTGCCTCCATCTTCTTTCCAGACTCCCCTTCATTTGAATGCTAAGCGACCCTGACAGAATCCTTGCCTCTGGGGACCAGTATTTTGAGACTTTCCTGTGTCCTTCCTGGTACCTTACAGAGACAGAATCAAAGCACTATGTGGACAAACTCATTATCTGTGACAGCTGATCTCCGAGCCCTAGGCCAAACGACAGTCCACTAATAGGGACAAACATTTTAGAATTAATATTTATGTCCAAGCCTTACCCCTGATTGACCTTGAGAAAGTGCCTCAGGGGCTGGTGAGGTGACTACGTGGGTAAGGTGCTTGCCGCCAAGCCTGACAACATAAGTTTGATCCCTGGGACCCGCATTGTAGAAAGAACCAACTCCTTCAAGTTGTCCTCTGACCTCCACATGTATACCATGGTCATACACACACACACACACACACACCAGATAAAATGTAATTAAAAGTTTGTCTAAAAACAAAGAAGTAGGAGGCTGGAAAGATGGCTCAACAGCTAAGAACACTTGCTGTCCTTACAGAGGACCCAGGTTTGGTTTCCCAGCATTCACTTCAAGCAGCTCACAACTGCCTGTAACTCCAGATCCAGGGATCTAACACCCTCTTTATGGGTGCTTGCATACCTGTAGTGCACATATATGTACTCAGGTATACACACATACACATAAAATTTTTGTTTTGGGGACAGTCTCCCTGTAGCCCCAGCTGGTCTGACTCACAGAGATCCTGGTTTACATAGCAAGTTCCAGGCCAGCTAGGGTTACATAGTGAGAACTTTTCTCAAAAAAAATAATAAATAAATGACTTGGTGGGGGAGGGGGCTAGAGAGATGGCTCAGTGGGTAAGACCACTTGCATTGCAAGCTTGAGGACCTGAGTTCAAATCCCCTGCACCCACACAAAAAGCCAGGTGTGGTTGAGTGTACCTGTAGCCCCAGCACTGTGAGGAGGCAGAGACTGGAGAATCACTGGGGTTTGCTGGCTGACAACCTAACTCCAGGGTCAGTGGGAGACCTGTCTCAAAGGAATAAGGCAGAGTGTCATAGGACAGGACACCTGATATCTTCCTCTGGCCCCATGTATGGACACACAGGTGCATGTGTGCACACACACCCATGCACATGTACCACACCCATGCAACACACACCAAAATACTTTTTTTGAGTGACTCAAGCCTACCATGGTAGCTCTCACTTGTAATCCCAGCATTTAAGAGGTAGAGGTAGGAAGATCAGGAGTTCAAGGCCATCCTTGGCTACTTAGAAACTTAAAGGTCAACCTGGGCTATATAAATCCTGTATCCAAAAAAATGACTCCTAGCCAGGTGTGGTGGCGCACGCCGTTAGTCCCAGCACTTGGAAGGCAGAGGCAGGCAGATCTTTGTGAGTTCAAGGCCAACCTGGTCTACATAGTGAGTTCCAGGACAGCTGGGGCTACAGGGAGACCCTGTCTCAAAAAAAAAAAATGACTCCCTTGTACAGCTCTGAAAAATCCTAGTAAATCATCATCCTCACCCTGTGGCCCCCTCTTCTTTCTGTGTCTAAATATCCAGCAAGTCCCAGGCACTCTGCAAGAGGCTTACACTAAGTAATTGCGATTTGATTTTCCCTGTAAGCCGGGGAGATACTGTTTTTCCCATTTTCAGGTGAGAATTTCCAATTCAAAAAGAATAAGCACTTTCCCAAAGTCGCATGGCTGTGCGTAGCCAAAGGAGCCCTCTGACCCACCTGAGCTCAGGGTTAGGGTTTCATGTGCTTCAGCTCAGGCCCAGGGTCGAGGCCCTCGCCAGCCCAAACAGATGTTGCTCCCCTGAACATTTCCTGCTTTAAAAATATCATGCTGCTGGGCTGGAGAGATGGCCCAGTGGTTAAGAGCACTGGCTGCTCTTTCAAAGGACCAGGATTCAGTTACCAGCACCTATATGGCCGCTAACAAATGCTCATAGCTCCAGTTCCAGGGGATCTAACACCTTCTGTAGGCAATACACTCACACACATAAAATAAAAATAATAAATTTTTTTTTAATTTTAAAAATTAACCTGCTGGAGGTTTAGCTCCATGGTAGAGCACTTGTGAAGCCGTGCGTTCCATCCCCAATACTGGGAAAAAACAAACACCTGGAATGTTCTAGTCTTGAAACTAGACTCTCCTACCCAGGAGGAGATCTTCTGGGGTTATGGTCGAGTACATACTTTGTTGATTAATGCTTGGGAATGAAAGAGGTGGGCAGGATAGGCAGGAGAGGTCCTTGTTCTGTTTTTCAATAATGAAGATAACTCAGTGGGTGCCTACGGTGGCTTCTGTGTGCCAGTTGAGGGGCTGCGCAATGCAGGAAGATGAGGCCCCTGCTTTTCACAGTCTCTCCCCAGCCCCTTTTGTTTCCAGTTCTGACAGGTGCCTTTCTCATCTGGACAGGTTCTCCCTCAAGTGGCTATGGACTCAATAAAAGATAGTAAATGCCTTAAGTGAAAAAGTTTTAAAATAAAAAAGGTTTAAATCTGGGGCTGGAGAGATGGCTCAGCGGTTAAGAGCACTGACTGTTTTGCAGAGGACCTGGGTTCGATTCCCAGCACCCACGTGGCAGCTACGAACTGTCCTTAACTCCAGTTCCAGGGGAATCCGAAGCCCTCTTCTGACCTCCACAGCATTGCATGACACGGGTGCACTCACATACATGCAGGTAATACACTCATACACGGAAAATAAAAATAATAAAATGTTTTTTAAAAAAAGGTTTAAATCAAATATTGTTGAATTTATTTCAATTACATGTAGAGTTAAGTAATGCCTTTTTAAAAACAATTCCTTCAAGCTAGGTGTGGTGTGGTTTCAGAGCTCAAGAAGCTGAAGTAGGAGAATTGGCACAAGTTCGAAGTCAGCCTGGGCTACATAATGCACTTTGGGAGGGAAAAGGTAGGCAGCCACTGCCACATCTTTTTGTGAGTTAGAAAACTTGCTAAGTTGTTCAAATGGACAACAGGAATCCTTTTTCATAGCCCACAGTTAAACACCAAAGGTGCTGAGATGCCAAGAGCTGGGAACCTCTGGGATTGTAGGATGTGAACATTAGCATGAACTTCAGATCATCAGCCAAGATAGCTACCATAAACTGAGTTCCCACCATGTCTCTGACACACCAGTGTCCTGTAGCAATTTCCTCTGAGATAAAACTTTCTATCTTGGAGGGAAGCTTGTTGAGACCCAGGATGCTCTAAAGGAGTTGAAACATTCCAACCCCCAGAGAAGCTCCTTAAGCTCAGGAAGTGAACAACTCAGACTTCAGGAAGTCCCTAAAACCGAGCAGATGTACTAGGCCCCTCCTTCCCTAAGCTTATATGAGCCCTAGGACTGCTGAGAGACATGCTCAGACAAGCTGAGCTGCTTGGAAGAGATTCAGACTTGCAGAGCTACCTGAAAAGGGCACTCTCCAACCCTCTGCGCTGTCTACAGGCTGTGTAATGAGCTCCAGGTTTCCAGCTTTTGTGAATGTAGCAGGCCCCTGACTAGAGGGTGTCCATCTTGTTACTCTACATGCGTGTCCTGGCTTAGTTATTCTATAGAGACCGTGAGTTCCTGAAACTGACTTGTTAAGAGAAAAAGAACTCTGTACTTTAACTGACTTATGCAAATGTATACTTGTGTTTTAACCATGGTGATTGGTTCTCTGTATTCCTGCTTTTGCAACCTTTCTGAACGTGTATAAAAGGCTCTTAGAAGCCATCTTCAGAGCTGCTCTCTGTATTCACTCCCAGAGTACAGGGACAGCCCGGCTGTTAATAAATCCTTCTTATCTCAACTTTGACCTTGTGGCGTGGCTTGGTTTCTGGCTCACAACAGTGAGCTGCCACCCATGCTGGGGTGGGCTTTTGGTGATCCACCTGTCTTTGAGTCATTTCTGCTCCTGTAAGTTATGTAACCCCAATAAAGCTCATTGGTTCACCAAGTTGGACTTTGGTGGTATCCTTACTTTGGTCTGTCCCAATTTTTAAGAGTTTTACAGACAAGGGATTGGAGAGATGGCTCACTGGTTAAGAGCACTGGCTGCTCTTACACAGGACCCAGGTTCAGTTACCAGCACCCACATGTCAGCTAACAACCACTCGTAACTTCAGTTCCAGGGGATCCAGT